ATTTCCAAAAGAGCTCTTTTTGTAATCATAACGGAATACCCACTTTACATCAACACCGAGATTGACGTACACGCCTTAGCCACAGATTGCGGTTGCTAGATCAGTTATCAGAATAACTGTGAGATTATGTTTTACAGACGACCAACAACAACTAAAATAGTGCCGGCATTGTGAAATTCAGTTGATTAAACACAGCTAGACAATAGTCGTTATTCAGTGGAAGACTGTAATGTATTAAATGCGTGTTAAGGCACATACTGTTGCCTGATATATATTGTCGCTTGTGAAATGTCAGCATTCACGGCACATATTGTCGCCAACCGTCACATATTATCACCGGCGACGACACATGCTCGGGTGCTCAGGATTTTGTTAATGTACACGAAATAATGAAGATGCTTTACCTCATCTTTTGAATTGCCGTCTGTATACAATCATAGATGTGATTATTACTTCTAGAAGTCATCAATGGATATGATGTTAAAACCGTAACATATGAAAATACAAATTTAACTGAAGATATCGACAGTACATGCCATAACAAACACATTTCACTGCCGGCGTACCTTACGGTTGTACAGGCTTTTGTACGGTTGTATCGTAGCGTCTTACCGTCGTGTTGTACCGTTTCGTTGTTGGACCAAACAATCCAGTGATCAAAAACACGAGCACCGAACTACGCACTGGGGATACGATGACGTGTGTCAATCAAGTCAGGAAGCCTGACCGCCCGATCTCGTTTGTCGCCTTTTACAACAAGCATGGGTTTCTGAAGACCAATCCTAAAATCAATGGCAGGGAACACCCAGTCTTGAGTATCCCCCCAAAACAGATTCCATTTGGGCGTAAACTTAGCAGTGACAAATTGCATTAATGGATTACTGAAAATTGGTGATGATTCCAGGTCCCAGGATGATGGAGTCGTGTTTGCTGTTACACGCCACCCTCGGCGACATCCTATCCATTTCGCGACAACAGCTGTGTCGTAGGTGGTCGTTTTTCACAGTGAACACGTGAAAATGTCTTTTGGTGCTTGCGGCGTTCACGACACTGTCAAATCCGCGTCCAGTCAATCATGATTAAAAGGTATTCAACAAGAAAACAACGGTCCATTAATTTGACTTTCAAATGTGATTAGTATCAAGTTTTGTGGATGCAATTAATAATTTAATTTAAGTAGATATCGTCTGTCCACTAATCAGATCAAATTGTGTTGTCAATCAGGTATTTTGCATTCAGTGTTTAAACCTGTCTCCTGCTGTGCGGCGTCAGAAATAAATCCTACTTTGTTTAAACATGTCCTGCTGTTAAACTGGGGCATGCGTACATTTTTCGCAAACACCTGATGTTATCAGTGATCCATTATTATAATCATGATTTAGCCGGATATTCAAGACTATTCTCTTTAGATATTTATGTGAACTTTAACCCGACGGGAGCTGATTATATCAAGTGATTGAGTGATCGCCGCTTTAAGCAATATTCCAGCAATATCACGGCGGAGACACCAGAAATGGACTTCACACATTGTACCCATGTAGGGAATCGAACCCGGGTTTTCGGCGTGACGAGTGAGTGAGTTAGTTTAGTTTTACGCCGCTTTAAGCAATATTCCAGCAATATCACAGCGGGGGACGCCAGAAATAGGCTTCACATTGTGCCTATGTGGACCATAGGGGAATCGAACCCGGGTCTTCGACGTGACGTGCGAACGCCTTAACCACTAGGCTACCCCACCGCCTCAAATTGTATCAAGATGAATTAAAACCCTTGTCATGTCTGTTAAACAAATGTACGTGTGGATTTATTATTGATATCTAAACTAAAACATAGATTTAATGACAGTGATGATTTATTAATCGATAGCCTAATCATTAAGAATCATTTACAAATCGCACTCATTTAACCAATACAATACAACGACTCTTTGTTTACACCACGTTGAGACCATAATGATACATTTGAGAAGATCTAGTCCCAGACTCTACAAATATCAACTGGTATATCCTGTTCTCTTGCATTAACTTCTTGAAAATATTTACTAAATCAGTCTGGTTTCTTTCTGAATGCTTAACTGCGGCATGTATCTCATTGGTGAGGTGAGGTGAGGTGAAATTGGGTTTAACATCGTGTTTGAGAATATTTCGCTCATATGACGACGTGCATGCGTGTGTATGTGTATGTGCGGCTGTCTGTACTAGCCCAGACTGAAGCTGGTTTTATAGTGCTAGCCCACTGAGATACCATGCCGCAGTGAAGCATGAATACCCCACTACTGACTCCCAGCCGACCAGCCCCTGTTGTACCCATTAAAGTCTTTTGGTATGACCCGGCCGGGGATCGAACCTGCGACCTTCCGCTCTCCGGGCGGACGCCGTTCTGAATGTCGTTACAGATAGTTGCAAATATTGTGTATACAATTTCGATGCTTATGATGTAAGTCACGGGATTGTCTGGTCCAGACTAGATTACTTACAGAACACATAACTGGATTTTTTTTTAATGCGGCGTCAAAAACACAACTAAACAAACCGTATACAAGTACTGAGTAGAGTTAAGCAATGAGATTGGTTCCAACCTTCAAGTACTCGTTTAATCTCTCCTGGTGTATATGAACCGCCTTCATCAACCCATGCTTGTTGTAAGAGGCGCCTATCAGGATCGGGTGGTCAGGCCCGCTGAATTGGTTCACATATGTCATCGTCTCCTTATTGCATAGATCGATGCTCATCCTGTCAGGCTCGTTGACTGGTTGGCGTGGATCGATGCTTATGATGTAAATCACTGGACTGTCTGGTTCAGACTAGATTATTTACAGACTGCCGCCATAGAGCTGGAATATTGCTGAGAGCGACATCACCAACCTGATGTATGGTAATCTCTGCTGACGGCCTATTGATGGGATTTTGTTCCTGGGAATACAATCTTCAGTTTTTCCATATAAGAACCCTAACAGGTCCCTGTCATCAGTACCAGCATTGGCATCGTCATCATCATTCTCATTGTTTTCATTGTCGAGGCCAATTTTATTTAATTTATCTTCCGATTCTATGACTTTTTTTCCATTTAATATGAGTACTTACTAATCTTGGTTATCATTTAATTCCATTAGAATTAAATCAAATGTCACTCATTGTAAGTTTCAGCTCTGTTCCCGCCAGCTTGTTGAGGTTTTGAGTGTGTATGATCCTCAATACACCTTAATTGCTATTTGATCAGTTCTCAACTGATTCTGTACAAAATTCATTGTGCGAAACGATGTAAAAGATCTTTTCAAATGGCCAATATCTCATGCTACTTTACAGGGAACCGATAGGGTAATCGTTGACCGATAGTATGTTGTCTAATCTTTCAGTGGTCTTCTCTTCGCCATACCAGAAAGGCCATAGGCCCATGATACGTTTCTTACAATATATTTGTGCAGATGCTGTACATACAGATTACTTGAAATGAAATAAAATGATATGTATGATATGAGATATGATATGATATGATATGATATGATATGATATGATATGATATGAGATATAGTCAGGGCTAGGTGTACCCGTGGTATCGCTTGAATATTGCTAAAAGCGGCGTAAAACCCAACTCACTCACTCACTCATCAGACACTCATTACACCAAGACTAGGCCTTTTGTGGAAGCTTGACCGGCGATGTTACTAAGTGAATTCAACTGTCAATGCCTTCATTACTTTCATCACCGCCATAACGTGCCGTTCTGTCAATTAATCAACGCCGTATTGCCAGTCTGACATTGGCATCACTAAGCAAAAGTTTGTATTCACACCAACAGTAGTTGCAGCTTGTGTCATTAACACATCGTACGTTATCCACACCACCGATGCACACAGACGGGGATCCAGTAACAGTCTTTGTTCGTTCAACCGTTCGTGCTGTTACCCAGTTCTGTGCTGTACCTCACAAACTACAACGTACACGACAGTCGTGGTTTGCAGGGTATTGGTGAGTGAGTTTGGGTTTACTTTTAGCAATATTCCAGCAAAATCACGGCTGGGGACACCAGAAATGGGCTTCACACATTGTACCCATTGTACACATGTTGCGTCATACCAAAAGACGTTAAAATATGGTACTTGTTGGTCCCGGCCTGGCATTCGGCATTAATGGGTACAACAAGGACTGGTCGGCACGGTGTTTGTATAATGTGTCTGAGTGGGGTATTCATGCCTAACACTTGTATCTCAGTGTGCTAGCACTATAAAACCAGCTTCAGTCTGGGCTAGTACAAGCAGCCCCACATACACACGCATGCACGTCGTCATATGAGCGAAATATTCTTAAGTGCGACGTCAAACCCCACATTTATAAGCTCACTGTCACGTGATTTATTTGACGAATGCAAGAAAACAATGTTGACCGATTACTTCAATCATTTCAGAATTATTTGATGAATGCTAAAAAAACAATGTTGACCGATTACTTCAATCATTTCAGAATTATTTGATGAATGCTAAAAAAACAATGTTGACCGATTACTTCAATCGTTTCAGAAAAAAATCATTCGTTTGTAGAGAGCAAAATACGTTTAAACACGTTGACAACAATGGATAGATCTTTCTTCAGCTGATTAAACATGTCGCCACAGATCACGTAAACTAATTATCTTGAACAGGATAATCCATAAGGGTAATCGATAATCATTACCATCATCCGCTTCTGCCTTTCCAGTTGCCGTCCATAGCTCCATGGCTGACGATGATTTAGTCATTTATGTGCGCAATGAAACAATCCATTTCGTTTACTTAAATACATTTGAAATCTCTCTGTAGATAAGCGTAATTGAAGCTAATACCAATATTCGACGCATCTTGTAATGTATCATAATAGCGTCTAATCCTTTTTGAAGACATTAATCAAATTAACATAGAGAAAGATGATATAATGGAGACTGGCATGATTCCTTTGCATGACACGATCAAAGAGACAAATCCAAACAAATGATTTCATCGTCAATCTATATTTCCAGATTAACCGCCGATAGAGATCATTTTCGGGGATACCGGAAGTCACGTGATACAAATTGACATCCTTCCTCTGCATATTAAAGAGTGCAGCGCCAGTCTTGGAATTAGTGTTGGAGGTCTACTGAAATGGAAGAACCAATCTGCGGTACACCGCCATTGGAAAACAATTCTTTACCTGTCAACTGGACTCGTCATAAATATTGCTCTGGTTTGGAACCTTGGGAGGACCAAATTGTCGGGACATATCTTATACTTGCAGGTACGTGTGATTTTATCACCATGTTTTATTCTTGTATGTGTTTGTATATTTTTTTAGTCCTTAACGTGTTTTAATTTTTTTATTCTTGTACGTGTTTCAACTTTTAAATTAGTTTTACGTGGTTTAATTCTGTTTTTGCTGGAGCAGTAGGGTAGCCTAGTTTTAAAACGTTCGCTCGTCACACTGAAAACCAGGGTTCGATTCCCTACATGGGTACAATGTGTGAAGTCCATTTCTGGTGTCCCCCGCTGTGATATTGCTGGAATATTGCTAAAAGCCGCGTAAAACTAAACTCAATCACTCTGTTTTTGCTTCAACATGCAACCAAAAATCAAACATACTTAATACACAATTATCACTTATTCATGACATATAATGTACATTGTTGATTATGAAAAACATATAAACGAAATTATAAGCATACAATCGCAAATCAAAAGTGCAATATTGTGTACTTGGGTTTACTTCCCAAGAAACGTAGCAGGTGTCAATAAAACAAGAGATTGAGTTTTGTCTGTGACAACGACATATCTATATCACAGTTAGAAATTCTGTCAACGCTAAATAATGACATTGCTTTTAAGTATCGAACTGAGAAAGTGACTCGGTCAGAAGAACGTGTGGTGAAATAGACAAATGAAATTATATAAACAGTTGATTTACTGTCATAACATATAAATACTCGCGCCTGTGAGATATCAACAAAACATTAGAAAAATAGCTCACACCAAAGCCTTCACCGAGTATTCACCGGACAACCCGCTTCCAAGCTGTGCGAACCTATTCACTGCGCACGTGCTATGGGCGCAGCCCACCTGTTGAAACCACTTGAATTCCCCCCAAACGCTGGGGGAAAATTAGTGAATCGTTTGAACTACGATTTCGCGGGGTTTTTTTCATCGTGTTATTTTTCAACTTTATAAGTTGAATTTGCATTTTTGACGATTTGTTTCGGTAAGTCCATACGAAAGGTATTAGAATCTGCAAAGTTGTGTTTTACGTTGCATGTGACCTTTCACATAACCATTGAAGGTGAAGTTGAGATGAACGCTTATTTTTATTTCTATAAGTATAATGTACAGATTCAAACTGTTTTTTCTAGTCTCATAGCATTTGCAATCCACTGCAGTTAATGGGCAATGTACATCTTGAAATTGCCCTTTGGTGAGTATGGTTTTTGCTACCATACGTCTGATTGCTCATTTTAACTAATGTGATTTACGTATGTCTTGAGGGAAGCGTTATTGACGGTGTGGTTGGGTTTATTGTCACGTTCAACATTGTTGCGCTCATATAGCGAGGTTCATACATGAATGTGTTTTTGTAGCTAGACTTATGCTTGCTTTTCATATGTTTTATGATTTATTGGTGTGCTATCCCACTCAGACAGTATACTGACTCAAATCTAACAGCTTTAACCCTTAGGCAGGAAAACAACAAGTACCATGCATTATGAAGTCGGGCTAGAATCCCCAAACCTCTGCATTCCAGGCAGGCGCTTTATTCATTATAGCACTATCTGCTGAAATTCCCGCTCTAACACTAATTTAAAATGTTGATGCATGGAGAGACACGAGACGCTGAATACAGTGAGTAGCGAGTAACCCTCCTATGAATATTGCCTAGCATAAGTCAATCTCGCAAATTCGGTGTGTCGTACATTGTGTAAAGGCATGCAGCATATTACAGAATGCACAATGCAATCCACAAGTGATGGGGTGTTTGATTTTGGATTGCATATTCATGTCACTTCCTGTAAACCGTGAAGATCCGGGTGAGAATTCGTCTTCAGTAACCAATGCTTGTCGTAAGATGCAACTAACGGCATCGGATGGTCAAGCTCGCTTGCTTGCATTGGTTGACACATGTCATCGGTTCCCAATTGCGTAGATCAATGTTCATGCTGTTGATTACTGATTGTCTGGTCCAGACTCTATTATTTACAAACCGCCGCTATATAGCTGGAATATTTCAGAATGCGGCGTAAAACATCAAACCAACCAACACTTTCTGCATGGTCAGCCTTGTCGTTTTGACGTGAGGCGAGGAGGGCTCTGGCAGATCTTGGAGGATGAAATGTAAGAAAAAGTTTAATTAATGAAACAAGGCCACATAGCCAAGCGTTCCTTTACATGACCAATATATAGTGATGTGCACGTGGATTGGGACTTGACAAACATAACTTTTTTTCTGTATAATTACAAAGGTAAACAATGTCTTTTTGGACATAATGACAATTTTGTAATGATAGATTTATGGTAGGTAGAAAGAAGATTTGGACACTTGGAAACTCCCACTCCCACTTAATAATAATAAGGGATTAACTGTTTTTACATTTTTAGAACAATGGACAAAGAAACAAGGAATGATATTCCTTTTAGCTTTCAAAAAGATTACATTTTGTATATAAACTAGATAAACTGTATTCAACTAAAACTTCCGTACAGTCGGTCTATAAGCTAAACAGACGCATTTACATAGGTAAGAAAACGCTTTCACAAATACAGACAGATATTTCACAGGTCCAAGCAGCAATTTATAAGATGAAAACACATATGCGAAAGAAATATTATATGGAAATATTATTATGGCTTGTTATATTACAATGATAATTGTGGAATTCGATGTCCTTGTACCTTTGTTTAAATCAAGAATGCATGATTCTTCTAAAACATCGGATGATTCTATTGCTATATGGCTGAAAGTATGCCGGTAAGACATAAAATGTAAAACTCACTCCATTGCAGGCATCAGAATGTGATACCAGTCCTTTTACAAGTGACACACAGCAATCGTGGGACACCAATCTGTTGTGCAGGCCAAGGTTGTTTCGTTTCTGAAGGATAACCCGTTTCCCCTACTTCGTAATGCTATATTCTCATATTTTTTAACAGCAAAATGGCATTTAATTGGAAACACAATCCGAGAAAACACACATTAACCCAATATTTCATTCTTGAAGACTCGCGCTTGGGCTTCATCCTATAATACATTGACATATCCGCACTAAGATGGATTCTCGGAACAATTAAATGAGACACTAATGGGGTTATATGTTAACTCACTGAATCAGCTAATGTGACTTCACTCCAGTGTTTGTTAATTATTTTGAATTATACATGAGACACTGGACAGCTGAACAAAGACTGACGTGACCACGTGTACAGTTTTCCTAGTGTGTCCTTGGTATGGCTTTAATCAATACAGTGACAACTCGTTGAAACGGATTTTTTCTTTCTGGCTCTCTTGAGACCACGGAGAGTGTCTGTCCTAGTGACCTGTTGTTTACTGTAGGAGACGACCAATTGGCTTGAGCTATAAGTCATAACCGTTGGGCCTCGTTAAGATCCGGGTTAGAATTGGTCTTCAGCAACTTCAGCTTGTAAAAGGCGACTTATGGGATCGGATTGTCAGGCTCGCTGTCTTGGTTGCCAAATGTCAACATATATCAACAGCGTAGATCGATGCTCATGCTGTTGATCACTGGATTGTTCAGATTCGATTATTTGGGGAGTACAGTTCCAAATTTGGGCCATCAGTGACCAAGATGATTCCCGATGCAATTCCCAATAGCGACTTTTGCTGTATGCCCCTGCGTGTATTCAGGCGCGACTTATCGTGTGTTTCCGAGGCAGAATAGGCCCACTTTTTCCCGAACACCTGGTTTAATAAAAAAATTGATAATAATTAATAAACAAATAATCATAGTGTTATCAAATACTGTGACTCTTATTTGCTGTTACAGTGAGTGAAGCTGAAGCAATGTGGTTTCAAAGAATGATCCTTATTCCGCTATACATCGACATTCCCTGATGTGTCCACATAAATCAACGCGTTTAAATGATTGATGATCCCACGCACGATCAAGTCTCATTTGTGGTGTCAAGGCAAAATGTCCTTCATTTACTGGATTAATTAAAATTAGTTTAATTTTTAAGTCAGCAATATTGCACAAAATATAACGATAGACAGAAGGTTATCGGAAAATCTAGCCATTCTCGTAAGCTACATCCAAAAGCCTTACCTTCTCATGACGAAAATCCTGGTTCGATTCTACACATTGCTAAAAGCTGTAAAATGAGTGACTTAGTATAGTTTTACGCCGCTTTTAGCAATATTCCAGCAATATCACGGCGGGGGACACCAGAAATGGGCCTCGCACATTTTACCCATGTGGGGAATCGAACCCGGGTCTTCGGCGTGAATAGCGAACACTTTAACCACTTGGCTACCTCCCCGCCCCTACAAGCTGTGAAGCCTACCATGTAATTCCAACACCATGATATGGTTTGCCTTTTACTAAGCGAGTCTATATAACCTTTCTCGCTCTCACATAAACGCTCTGAGGCATCTATGTACTTTTCCCATTTTTTAGACATGATCCTGAACGCTATATTTTATTACTAAGACAATAAAACAACTTCACCGCTCTCACATTTACACATTCCTCCACTGATTACACTTCTCATGTTCGATGAGACAGGATCATGAAACACATGAAACGCATTGCTATATGTATTTTATTACTCCATTTTATGAGACAGGATCATGACACAACCAAAGTAATTTTCGCCTATCATTATTTCACAACACACCATCGATATAGAGTGTCCAAAGCAGGAGCATCATAGTCACCAATATCTTTTTCTTCTTCTTAATCTTTGAAATTTAGCATCGCTCGTATAGATTTCAACACGGAATCTATTTTCATGAACAGATTAAAAGGCGCTGTGGCCTCAGTGGCGCCCTCGAAGATGTTGTTATCTAACTGATTACATGTACAATTGATTTATGCACTGATATGCATGGTCACTGACATTGTGTAGCTGTGTGTTTCATTAGCTCCTCAGAATAGAAAGCATGAATATATGCATAGAAGGTGGTTTGTCGTTGGGGGGCGATTAACCTGATTTGGTGGTGAAGCTTGTTGACTTGGTTGCTGAACATCACCGTATCAAAACAGATGGTGAGGTGAGGTGAAATTGGGTTTAACGTCGTGC